GAATACTTCTTAAGAGAAAAAAGTGAAAGTTCTACTTGTTCCTTTTAACCAGAATATAATTAAAGGCCTCATATGTCTTTCAAATATATCATAAAGCAGAAAGTTAAATGTATCTAGATGCAGCATAATGAGCAAAGTTTTCCACTTAAATAATAATGCATCATTTAATTGTTTGAATTAGTAATACGAGGCTTGAAGCAACTGAGCTTATGTTCATTTTTGTCCTTTGCTAAGTAACCAGCTTGTATTTATTTAACCGTATAATTTCTTGTATGATGTAGCATGCTTGGTTTTCAGCCTTGAGTTTTTACATAACAGTTTATGAAGATGCTAATGTCAGTGAAAATGTGAGTCAGTGAAAAAGTTATTTGCTAATGTGAGTAAAAAAAAAAAAAAACAGAATTCTTCATTGCAAACTGACATCACATTTTTTAATGTTTTATCATTATTCATAGGCTGTTTTTATTTAAGTGATTGCACTGTGCCTATTGTAGCAAAATACATGCTTTACAAAGATAAGTTTAGCAGCAGAGAATTAATTTCATCCCACATCTTTTAATGTGGCATGGCAGTCTCACTCTAAGATCAAAACATAAAACTGAAGGTTATGTTTAATTTCTAAATCAAAGTGTTGTGGGAAGATGATTGAAATCTGAAGATGACTCAGATCCACTTGATATGTGGTTTTCTTCCTACAGAAATCTTATGGTAGACTGCCATTTCCATGTTAGAAAGAATCTAATAGTGAAGAGATTAAAATAAATAGTTTCACTATATACTGAGAGTTTATGTTAGTTACTTTCTTAGTCTGAATTCTTGTTAAGAACTTTGAAAATTTCGATAACTTAGGTATCTCTTTCCTCTCCCCACCACCATCCAGTATATCTTTTTTTTTTTTAATTATGGAGGCAAAGAAGTAATCTGTGTGTTTTCCCAACAAACACTGATTTTTTTTCACAATTTTCATGATTCTATTTTTTACCAAAAAATAAAATAATGTACCCATTTGGCTCTTCGCCTGTATAGAATTCTTCATGTGCCTCCAGGGAGTGAATTAAGGTTATATGGCTGCATGAGCTGTGTTAAGATGATTTTGGTGAGGTGTGGTAAATGGTAATTGCTGTGTATCTCCTACCTCACCAAAGTGAACTTACTTGTTTCCTTATTTTTATTTCTTCTAGCAGTCAGACAGAGTACTAACCTAGAGCTGAAATGGATTCTTTTTTTCCTCAGGTGTCTTAAAAATAGGAGTCAGAAATGTTGTCCCGTGTCTGGCCTTCTCTGCTTGGCCCTTATCTGAACCTCTCAAAGGCCTCCCTGTGTGGGGTGTGCAGCCCAGCGCCCTCAGACAGTTCTGCTCAGAGAAGGAAGTGAAGAGTTTTGGTTCCCATTTTACACTTCTGGAACAGTTTAGGGAAGGAAGCACCTTTACACCTTTTATTGTTCGTGGTTGCTGACATCATATCCTTCCCTGACCAGCCTGTGCGTGTTTCCTGCCATTCTGTCAAGATTCTTCTGTGTTACTGGGAGGGATTTGTGGGAGGGAGGGAGAGAGGAAGAGAGCAAGAAAGAGGGGGGAAGGGGGGCGGAGGTGTGTGTCACTCAAGGGAACTGGTTTGTAAATGAGAGGGCCCCGGGTGGGAGAAGGAGCTTTAGCATCTGTCCACAAGAAATCCTCCTCTCCCTGGGTCTCAAACCACTCTGCCTTCATCTGTCTGCTTATGCCAAACTCAAAGTGAACAGAAGCCTGCCATAATGAAGTTCCCCTTTTTTTTAGTAAGCAGCCTGATTTTATTTTTCTTATATTTAGGTTGGCAAAAAGAAAAAAAAAATGCAGAGGACTGTAGCTCTATAGAGTGTAACTATGGTAGACTGTTGTTGTTGTTTTTTTTAATTACTGATTGTTTCTCTGTAGCTCTGTCATTTTCCAAGAATTCTTCTTTTATGTGGAAAGAAGTAGCGGCAAGGCTGCTGGAATTATTTTAAGCTTATGGTTGGTTGTACATAATGAAAGTTCTCAGTGTAACTTGAATACTACTACATGTAGTTTAGCTGTTTTATCCTTTTCTTCATATACATACAAAGCAATTTTTCGATTAATGAGGTTATGTCATCTCTTTTTCAGCCTCTCTAGGCCTTCTACAAACTAATTCTTGAAACCAACTTTGCAGTATAATTTTTGTGTAAAAATCAGGTTGAAAAAATAGCTATGCTAAGAAAACAGCTACTGAGCTGTGGTTGACCTTCCTAACTCTTTGAATTTTTACTGACAACCTTGAAACATGGTGACCCATAAACAAATAATCTTTAAGCCGAACAGTCCAAAGCACATTTTGCTTCATGAAAACAATCTCATCATCACCACATCTTCTGCATATGTACTTAATCATATCAAATTTTGCATTTCAGAAATGTTCAAAAGGCAGCACCCTTCAAGACATATTCATTTTTATGGGAAGTAAGATATTTGAATGCTATTAAAATTTAACCTTGCATTCTCTTTACATTGTATATTTCACAAAATATATTTAATGTCATTTTTAATCAGTTATTTTATATATTTATACATATTGATACAAACCGTTTCTTTCTGGCAAAATATGTCCCATTATGTTTTAAGAATTTTTAAAGAAAAAGCCTTGCTCTGCTCTTTTTAAGAAATGTCCCTTGTTTCAAAGTTGTGAAATATTGGGTGGTGAGATGGAAGAACTCTTCTAAGTTTGATTCATCAGGAATTCTGTCCTTCCGAGGAGACTCTTCTCCAGGGATGTTTCTCTACTCGTTTGGTTATTTGTATTTTGAAATCAGGATCTGCAGAGGTCCTCATCTTCCCCGCCTCGTTCCACTCTCTAATCTGTTCACCCTGACCTTCCACCTTAAAGTGAATAAGCGCTTAGGCAGGCATAGTCCTGTAAGCCGATAGTGCCACCGGCCTCAGCTCAATGAAAGAAAGGAGATTGTCCATATGCATTTGCTGTGGATTCATGGGTTGGCTTTTCTGTGACCGAGGAAGCCTGTTTGTCTCTCTGTGGTCTTGCACATGCATGGGAAATACCATTCTAATGTGCTGCTTGCTTCTAAGGTAAGACTATAGGAAACACAGGAAAGTTGTCCAGTTGAGTGATATTTTAGACTGACTCTAAAAATAGATGGACAGTGTTTGGCAATAGTGAATATGCAGTTGTGCTTTGTGGATTTTTCATATTTTAATGTAATTTTTAATGTATCTTGTAGCTAATTTTTTCCTGTCTGTCCAAATGTGTGTTATTTATATAACTCTAAAACTTTGAACTACTTCCAACATTCAAAATTACCGCTGGAGTAATCATTTTGATGAGCCCTGTGTGGTCATGAAATTACTCAACATATATATTTATATATTCTCAGAGGCAGAACTGAGCTGTAGTTTCATAGAAGGCATTGGGAAAAAGAGAATGGTTAGTCTTAGTATTTAAGCAGCACTTAATCCACCAGAACTAATTATATCATAATAGCTTCTGCAATTAGATAATCACAGAAAACTTAAAAAAAATTTATTCAAGGTGATAAAGAATTTAGAAATTAAATTAAAGAAGTCAAAAGACAGCTAATGTGATCAGACCAAGTGTGTAACAGTTCCAGTTCCTATTCCAATAACTTTGAATTGGAGCCAAATAATCTATTAAATAGCCAGGACATGGGCTTAATGTTACATAATACATGTGGGAATTTATCAGGTCGGTTGTCAGACACCAACTAAAATAAACAGGGAAACTCTGAGCAACATGTTAAGTATTTGCACTCTTTGAGGGAAGAAGGGATAAAATGATTGAAGCTGTTGCTTGCAAATTAAGAAGCCATTTGTGGAATGCCTTTTTGTTAACTTCCACATTTCACAGCAATTCACTTTCACTCAAATATTTTCAGATATAATTTAAAACAAAGAAGAATACTTTTAATACCCTGGATTCTCTGGATTTATCTTACATTATCAATGATCACATCTCTCATTTTATTTCATGGCCTAAGATATCCAGTATATGACAAGATTCTATACTTTTGTATCTTACTACCCAAAGAGATATGATATGTCTTCCTAAAATATTTAAATTTCAGGGACTGACAGCTTATAGTCATAAATGGAATAATACTCTTAATTTTTGCACCATTTCTTTCTTTTCTGTGAATGATTATCTTTTTTGATTCTTGTATTCAAGATATAGCTTAAGGGCTTTCAAAAAGAAAAGGAGATCTCACAGCTGATAGCTGCTTGTTGTGTAAGATTAAATATCCCACATTATTTTTACAGTGTTCCCATAACAGTGACTTTTTAAAAGTAAGATGAAAGGATTTAGATTTAAATTAGTTGACATTTACATATATCAAATAGCACTTTCATAATAGTCCATCCTATTTGCATAACGAGGGACGTTATCACCTTTGCTGTCAAAACATGAGATTGTTTTCCCTTCAGAAATGAATTAGCTGCCCTACTTAGCATACACAGGTACATAAAGGTTCATTAACTCCCTGATTTAGGTAATTTTTCATAACAAGGGTAAAAATAGTCACCTGATTTCATTAAAAAATACTAAGAAATTCTTTGCAAAAGATATATTTCAAGTGTTGGGCTTTAAAGCATAGTTTTCATCATTTAAATGACTTGTTAAATTACTTACAAGAGTCTTTTAATTATAAAAACAAACCATTTCTACTTGATATGCTCCTGCATGCGATATATCATGTACTTTTAATAAATACTTATTTTCTGTTCATTTGATTTGTTTAGTTCCACAGAATTTAAAAAAAAATAGAAAGTGATAGTTCTTATGAAAGTGGCTTGCTGTTAAAATAGTGCTTAATTTTATTTTTTGTTCAGCAGGAACGAATGCAGGAATTTGGGAACTGAGCAGTGCAAGTGCTGAAGAAGGAGATTTGTTTGGAGGAAACAGGAAAGAGAAAGAAAAGGAAGGAAAAAATACATAATTTCAGGGACGAGAGAGAGAAGAAAAACGGGGACTATGGGGAGAAAAAAGATTCAGATTACGAGGATTATGGATGAACGTAACAGACAGGTGAGTGGGGTAAACTTTTTTGGTATTATTATTTACATGGACTGTTTATTACATTTCCCCCCCAGATATGTTAAGGGTATTGAAAGCATTTTGAGCTTATCCATTAAGAAAAGATTTAGTGAGTTAAATGTAATCTAAGTGCTAATATTCTCTTATATGTACAGGGTTAATTTCATCCTGTGGGTAAAACATATACTTTACACATTCATGATTATTCACCTTTTACTTCAACATTAATTTTAAATGGGAACTGCATTTGTGTAACATAAATAGCTTAATAATTGAGTTAATAAGCATAATATTGCTCTACTGCATGCATCACCAAATAAAGATATTCTTAGGTTTGTGGGAATGAGGCCTTTTGTGGTCCTCCACCTAAAGGTTTATAATATGGGCTAAATATCCTGTATAAAAGTAGTTTTCATTCTGTTCACAGTGAAAGAGACTTTGAAATACGTTCAAAATATTTAACATTGTGCTAACAACAACAAAGAAGATATCCCCACAAAACATTAGCACCTTCAAACATACAGGCAAGAACCATCAGTTCATTACCATTTCCTTTAAACCCTTGAGTTTTATAAACCTAGAGGCACCTGATGTTACAATTTGCTTTTAGAACTCCTGTGATACCTTTATGATAGTTAATCTATTCTAAAGACTTTATGCATCCAAGTGCTCTATTCAGCAAAGGCTTGTATATTATGAATATTTGTGATTTGACTCTTATTTTTCTTCACACTTGGGGAGAGCAGATTTAGTTAGGTGAAGTAAGGCGAACTGTGTGGCCAAGATGGAGCTGCATTTAAAAAGCTTTTACTAAAGTGACCCTTATTTTCCATTGGTTTCCCATGGATCTCCTAATTGCTTCCCCATGATTTATCATCCCTTGAAGCTCAAACCATCTTTCCTTTGTTAAAAAGAGCATATAAGTTCCAGTGTCTAACTGCATCTTTGAGTTTCATTTCTTTTCTGTGAGACCTTGTGAATTAGTATCAGTGTATATGTCAGTTGCTCAGTCATGTCCGACTCTTTGCAACCCCGTTGACTATAGCCCGCCAGGCTCCTCTGTCCATGGAATTCAGGCAAGAACACTGGAGTGGGTAGCCATTCCCTTCTCCAGGGGATCTTCCTGACCCAGGAATAGAACCTGGGTCTCCTGCATTGCAGGCAGATTCTTTAGTGTTTGTGCCACCAGGGAAGCCCCCTGTGAATACAGAAATAATAATAAATTTGTTGTTTTTCTTCAAAAAAAGAATAGTTGGATGGTTTGTTAATGTTAAATTAACATTAGGATGGATGCAACCATTAACCGATACCAGTTCTAAGAGACAATACTACCAGATTACAACCGTTGCAATGGATAATGGAACCTACAGAACAGATGTTCCTTGACCCTGGTGGAGGAGAGTGTCTTGCTTGTTGCCCATTGAAAGCTAAGAGGACAGCCTTGGGGAAGCCCCGCCAGACTAATTTCCCACATATAAAAATGTTCTTCTTCCCCTACTGGGCCTTTCTGTCTTCTTGGACCTTCAAGTGAGACTAGAACTTATTTGTGCTTTAAAACTTTTTATTGCTACATGTGTAAATTATAATGAATGCAAGTTGTTATTTATGCCATCAAAGCCAGTATACCATTAAGTGATAAAGAAACTTGAGATTTTCAGGTTTATACTCCTTTAAATTACTGTGTTTAAGGTACATATGACTTGGGACTATTTTTTGGCGAAAATTGAGCTAAAGGATGAATAATGCTGAGATTTATGATAGATTCCTTCAGTGTTTTCCCAAACATTGTTTATTGCTTTGGGTCAAGCCAAAAAGCAATAATTCTGTCAATATAAAAAAAAAAAAAACCACAGTATTTTTAATTGATTTATAGCTTGAAATTGAAATTAAGACTGAAATATTGAACTTCATATACCACTAACTATTTAGACCTTACTGTTTGGGCTAGCACCTATTTGGGTGCTAGTCAAAAATATATATGAATTAGCATCTACACTTTATTAATAATACCAGGTAATATGGGGGTTCATGAAATTTATTGTATCCTCTTTTTGCTTACAAAGACAAAAAGTTTTTACAGGTTGAAGTCATGAGCTTTCATTATGGTTTATAAAGAAATATGAAGCTCATATAAGGATGCAAGAATGTTAACACTAACTTTTGAGCTACAAGTGAACGTTTCTTCATAATTTAAATATAGCTGCATATACAATTGCTGTCACTCTCACCAATGTTAGAAGTCGTAATAACTTTTAAGAGAATAAAATTTATTTAAATTCAGTTTAGTTAGTCTTATCTTTTTTAGTCCTGAAGATGAATTCCTTGGTTTTATTCTATAGAATGTAGGATCTGGGTAGTCTTTACTTAGGACTCCTCTGATGGCTCAGAAGGTCGGGAATCTGTCTGCAATGCAAGGAGACATGGGTTTGATCCCTGGGTTGGGAAGATCCCCTGGAGAAGGAAATGGCAACCCACTCCAGTCTTCTTGCCTGGAAAATTCCATGGTCAAGGAGCCTGGTAGACTGCAGCCCATGGGATGGCAAAGAGTCAGACATGACTAAGCCCAGTAGCACATACATACACAATCTTTTCTTCAGTTCTTGGGTTCAGTTGGCCCTGTGATTCAGTACTCTTAAATAGAATTAGTAAAATTGATAACTTCTATGTTTTAATATATATTCCAGTGATTATTGTAAGTGGCTATTGACAATCTTAAACAGCCATCTTACTTAAAAACAGTCATCTGCGTGCCTCTCATCTACTGCAAGAGTGATCATAAAAGCCATTTGGGAAAGAGCCTAGAAGATGTAGGTCACTTCTAATAATCAGCACCAGCAGATCTGCAACAGCGTGTCATCCAAAGTGAGGAGACACCCCTAACTTAGGCTCCCTTTAAAGTGTGTGTTCAGATGTTGAAAAGAAAAGCATTCACCGCTTTGCCCTTCTGGAAGCTTCCCCCCACTGTAGACTCCTTAATAGAACCTCATACAATAGCTCACTGTCATCTTTTCTCAAAAGCAGTAAAAGCCTGCCCTGCCATCGCAGGTGTTTATTTGGCTATACAGAACAGGGTGTGTTTTTACAGAATAAGAAATACTGGCTTAAAGTGTGAAATGAAATATTACAGAGCTGATGTGATAAGTTGTATATCATTAAGAAATAAAACTGTGGGAAAACAGAGCGGCCGACTGTTTAAATTGAATTTTGCCCTTACTTTATTTTTCATTATGGCAGTGGGCAACAGCTAAAATTCAGGAACTCTGATTATATACATAAAATAGTTTAGGGGAGGGGAAAAGTAGCAGCTTGTTTTTTAAAAAATTTTCCAGAGTCTCCAAGTTTATGAAAAGCACTTATTTCTCAATCTCTAACCTAAACAAGGTGATTTCTTAAGCTACTATATAAAAACAAAATCATGAATTGTCAATTTGTCTCCGAGAAGTTTTCAAATAATTTGAAAGTAGCTATGTGTACCAAAAACTACATATTTATTATTCCATTTAATCCTCATTAATTCCATTTATAGCTGAATAACTCATTTATTTATTAAGTCAGCAAATATCATTTGTTTGCAACCTGCCTAACATGAAGTGCTCAGCAATAAGCCAATTGAATCTTATTCAGCTTATTGTCTGCTGTAGAAGTCAGCAGCCTGGTTCTGTAAAGGGCCAGATAGCAAATATTTTCGACCTTGTGAACCATACAGTCTCTGTCTCAGATGCTCAGTTCTACCCTTGGAGTAAAAGTGACAAAAGACAACATGTACACGAATTTTAACATGTCTGTGTTTGAATAAAACTTTACTGGCAAAAGCGGGAGGCAGGCAGGATTGGCCTGTAGGCCTAGTCGGATGAACCAGACGTGAGATATGCAAATATATAACAAAAATTTGGTTCACATGTGTTATGAATGAAACTCCCCACATGCTATGAAAGAATAACAGGAGGTGCTTTATTTAGATTGGGGGTGGGAGAAAGGCTTCCCTGAGGAAACGCTGAAAGATGGGAGCAAAGAGATGTTTCAGAGTTCAGCAGAAGACAGCATTCCAGAGGGAACAGTGTTTGCAAAGCTCCTTGAGAAAGGGAAGAGCTGGCTGAGGAGTGGAAGAAGGAATGCCCCAAGGAACTTACTTGAGCCTCCTGTGTGTAACTTCAGAGAGACGAGAGAAAAGGTTTAGATGCTAGGCAGGGCCCAGATCATGCAGAGCTTTGAGTCAGAGAGTTAACACTAGGAGGTGGCCAAGATTTGAGCCCAAATCTTTCAGATTCAAAAACAAAGTAAGCGGTTTTTCAGTTACGTCATGCTGCATTCTGTATAAGATAATGGCTTAAAGCGTAGTTTTATGTCATTACTTTCCCCCATTACATACATCATCCCACGTCCAGCATATCATGGTGAAGAGCATAGCTTTTAAAGACACACAAACCTTGTTCTGGCCTGAGTTCTGCCTGCTACTAGCTGTGTGACTCTCCAGCAAGTAACTTGACCCCTCTGAGCCTTGCTTCCCCCATCAGTAGAGGGGAAGATTGAAAAACAGTACCTGCTTCATTGGGTCATTGAGATAATTAAATGGAGGATAAACGTAAAGCACCTAGCATGCGATGAGTGCCCGAGAAATTTACCTATTAGTTATTCCTGTTAAGACTCGAGGTCTTTGAGCCATTAGTTATTATAGTTGACGTGATTTCTGTCAAAACAACTCCTGTGCTGTGTCGCACCCTAAAGAATGGTACCTGAACCTTCCTTTCAAGTGGGTGTTACCCGCTCGAAAGGGTATCAGGGAGATGCAAGGAAAAGTGGAGCCGAGCAGAGCATGTGTGCCTGCTCAGTCATGCACGACTCTGTGACCCCACGGACTGTAGCCCACCAAGCTCCTCTGTCCATGGGCTTTTCCGGGCATGACCACTAGCCGGGGTTGGTCCTATGCAACCCAGGGGTCAAACCCGAGGCTCTTGCTTCTCCCGCACGGACAGGCGGATTCTTTCACCACT